AACAAATTCAACCACAGCAACAGCAACAAATTCAAGAGCAGCTGGGAGAACTCCTCAAGCAACAGCAGCAGCAACAGCTGCAAACACAGCAACGACAACAACAATTGCAACAGCAACCACAGCAACAGCAACAAATTCAATCACAGCAACAGCAACAAATTCAACCACAGCAACAGCAACAAATTCAAGAGCAGCTGGGAGAACTCCTAAAGCAAGAGCAGCAGCAACAGCAGCAAACACAGCAACGACAAGAACAATTTCAATCGCAGCTAGGACAACTACAAGGACAACAGCAGGATCAGCAGAAAGATGACCAGCAGCAACCACAGCAACAGCAACAATTTCAAGAGCAGCTGGGAGAACTCCTAAAGCAACAGCAGCAGCAACAGCAGCAGCAACAGCAGCAAACTCAGCAACGACAACAACAATTGCAACAGCAACTGTGGCAACTACAACCACAACAGCAGGATCAGCAGAAAGATGACCAGCAGCAACCACAGGAACAGCAACAAATTCAACCACAGCAACAGCAACAAATTCAGAAGCAGCTGGGAGAACTCCTAAAGCAACAGCAGCAGCAACAGCAGCAAACACAGCAACGACAAGAACAATTTCAATCGCAGCTAGGACAACTACAAGGACAACAGCAGGATCAGCAGAAAGATGACCAGCAGCAACCACAGCAACAGCAACAAATTCAAGAGCAGCTGGGAGAACTCCTAAAGCAACAGCAGCAGCAACAGCAGCAAACTCAGCAACGACAACAACAATTGCAACAGCAACTGTGGCAACTACAACCACAACAGCAGGATCAGCAGAAAGATGACCAGCAGCAACCACAGGAACAGCAACAAATTCAACCACAGCAACAGCAACAAATTCAGAAGCAGCTGGGAGAACGCCTAAAGCAACAGCAGCAGCAACAGCGGCAAACACAGCAACGACAAGAACAATTTCAATCGCAGCTAGGACAACTACAAGGACAACAGCAGGATCAGCAGAAAGATGACCAGCAGCAACCACAGGAACAGCAACAATTTCAAGAGCAGCTGGGAGAACTCCTAAAGCAACAGCAGCAGCAACAGCAGCAAACACAGCAACGACAACAACAATTTCAATCGCAGCTAGGACAACTACAAGGACAACAGCAGGATCAGCAGAAAGATGACCAGCAGCAACCACAGGAACAGCAACAATTTCAAGAGCAGCTGGGAGATTTCCTAATGCAACAGCAGCAGCAACAGCAGCAAACACAGCAACGACAACAACAATTGCAACAGGAGCTGGGACAACTACAAGGACAACAGCAGGATCAGCAGAAAGATGACCAGCAGCAACCACAGGAACAGCAACAATTTCAACAGCAGCTGGTAGAACTCCTAAAGCAACAGCAGCAAACACAGCAACGACAACAACAATTCCAACAGCAACTGTGGCAACTACAACGACAACAGCAGAATCAGCAGAAAGATGACCAGCAGCAACCACAGGAACAGCAACAATTTCAAGAGCAGCTGGGACAACTCCTAAAGCAACAGCAGCAGCAACAGCAGCAAACACAGCAACGACAAAAACAATTGCAACAGCAACTGTGGCAACTACAACGACAACAGCAGGATCAGCAGAAAGATGACCAGCAGCAACCACAGGAACAGCAAACATTTCAACAGCAGCTGGGAGAACTCCTAAAGCAACAGCAGCAGCAACAGCAGCAAACACAGCAACGACAAAAACAATTGCAACTGCAACTGTGGCAACTACAACAACAACAGCAGGATCAGCAGAAAGATAACCAGCAGCAACCACAGGAACAGCAGCTGGGAGAACTCCTAAAGCAACAGCAGCAGCAACAGCAGCAAACACAGCAACGACAAAAACAATTGCAACAGCAACTGTGGCAACTACAACGACAACAGCAGGATCAGCAGAAAGATGACCAGCAGCAACCACAGGAACAGCAAACATTTCAACAGCAGCTGGGAGAACTCCTAAAGCAACAGCAGCAGCAACAGCAGCAAACACAGCAACGACAAAAACAATTGCAACTGCAACTGTGGCAACTACAACAACAACAGCAGGATCAGCAGAAAGATGACCAGCAGCAACCACAGCAACAGCAAACATTTCAACAGCAGCTGGGAGAACTCCTAAAGCAACAGCAGCAGCAACAGCAGCAAACACAGCAACGACAAAAACAATTGCAACTGCAACTGTGGCAACTACAACAACAACAGCAGGATCAGCAGAAAGATGACCAGCAGCAACCACAGGAACAGCAACAAATTCAACCACAGCAACAGCAACAAATTCAGAAGCAGCTGGGAGAACTCCTAAAGCAACAGCAGCAGCAACAGCAGCAAACACAGCAACGACAACAACAATTGCAACAGCAACTGTGGCAACTACAACCACAACAGCAGGATCAGCAGAAAGATGACCAGCAGCAACCACAGCAACAACAACAAATTCAAGAGCAGCTGGGAGAACTCCTAAAGCAACAGCAGCAGCAACAGCAGCAAACACAGCAACGACACCAACAATTCCAACAGCAACTGTGGCAACTACAACGACAACAGCAGAATCAGCAGAAAGATGACCAGCAGCAACCACAGGAACAGCAACAATTTCAACAGCAGCAACAATTACAAGAAAAGCTTGGACAACTGCAACAGCAGAAGCAGCAACAAGTGCAACCACAGCAACAACAACAACAATTCCAACCGCAGCTGAGACAACTGCAACAGCAACAACAACAGCTTTTACTACAACGGCAACCACAGCAACAATCAGAACAATTGCTACTGCAGCTGGGACAACTACAGCAACAACTGCAAAGGCTTTTACTGCAACAGCAGCAGCAACAACAACGACGGCGAACACAGCTGAGACAACTGCAACAGAAACTGCGACAGCAACAGCAACAGCAACGGCTTTTACTGCACCAGCTGCAGCAGCGAAAACAACAACAATTACAACAACAGCTGGAACAGCTGCAACAACAACAGCAGCAGCAACGCCAACAATTGCTACGACAACTAATTCAGCAAGAGAAACAACGACTGGAATTTTTAAGAAGTAGGCTGCAGTTGCAAGTTCTTCAACAGCTGGAACGAAAACTATTAACGTTGTGGAAACCCGTAACTATTAACACTCCCGGTCAACTAATTTGGCGCCCAATTGAAGTTGGACAACAGGGAGTCAATAAGATTAACAAAAACATACAGTCGGCGCAAGACTTGCTGATACAAAAGCTATTGCGAATCGAGGCAGAAAAGGTGGGGCAACAAAATGTCCGGCAGGAGCTTTTGCAGAGACAAAAAAGACAGCTACAAACACTACAGGAGCTAAGGCAAAAGCAGGAGCAGGAACGCACTCAAAGGTTGATACAGAGCCTGGTTAAAAAGCAAGCGGAGCTTCAAAGCCAGCAAGCGTCACAAATTCAGGAGCAAATTAAAATCCAGCGACAAATACTCGATGAGCGAGTAATGCAGGAACTGCGAAAAAAACAGCAACTGCGTGAAGTCCAAGAGAAACAACGGCTGCAGGAACCATTTGAAAAAGAGAAGCTGTGGCAAACTCTACAACAACTTAAGAACGAAGAGCAGATCAAGAATCAGCAACTTTTGACTAATCAGCTGATTTTGCAGAAGCAACGTGAAGTTAACCAGAGACAATTACAGGATAACCTAAAACTTCAGGAACTAGAACGGCAACAATTCCAAGCTCAACAACAATCTCAGGCAATCGGAAATGCAGAAGTCTCTGGTTCTCAACAAAGTGTGAAGAATATTGCATCCCAACAAAACATTCAAAGCTCATTATCGGAAAACCAATCTGAATCTCAATCAGGTTTAAAGTCACAAAGTATTGTTGAAAGTTCTGGATCAGCATCCTCTTTATCGTCCGATCCTTCCCAATCAGATTCGTTGCCTAATATTCCAAAACAGGACTATGAAGAGATGAACGTGGCTCCGATTTAAAACATTTATTAATATCAAAAACGCCACGAATGGGCTTTTCCCAAGGAAATGGAAAAGAATGGATTTTAAGTCAATTAAATTTTTGTTTTACCAATAAATAAATTATAAAACATGTAATAAAATTCTTTTTTGCAATAAATAGTACTAACGTGCAGCTCAAAGTTTTTAAGCAATTTTTATTTATAAAACAAAAATTCCTTTTTGCCAGTCAAAATAATTGTTATTGTCCAGCACCCAAGGAAGTTGCAAGGTTTGTACCTTATGTTAGTTACAAGGTTGTCCATCCACTAATTTGATTAACTTGTATCCCAACACTAATCTTTTTTCCGGTATCGAACCCGCAGAGATCGGCTAACAATATCATCCCTTAACAACCCTTAACGAAAGGCAGCTGCCGAGTCTTGTTAACTTTCAAATGCTCCTTTAATGTTGATTTAGCCACGGTTTTCTCACTCAAGCGTTAATAATGCTGCGAATAAGCGTACATAGCTAATTAAACAAGCAATGAGAGCTGGCCAAGCAATATCCAAGCATAAAAAGGGAGAAACAAGTATCATCCTGTCCGGAGTGCAGGAAAAATTAACATATGTCTAAGCTGGGACACGCGATTCCGGAGAGCTGCAAAAACTGGTTTCCCACATTCGCCTCGCTTCACTTTTGTGAACTGTTTGTGCAAAGCATTTAGTGCAGCAATTGAGTCGGAAATAAAAAATAACAAAAGGAAAACACAAGACAGCTTGTGCCTTAATTTTCCGCCAGAGTGGGCAGAAATAAATTTCCCTACCCGAAGTTTTTGGAGTTCGAATTGTTCTGCTGGGTCCAGGGCCAATTAAAATTGGGTGCAGAAAGTAATGCGTATTTGATATTGTCTCTTTTAAGCAGTTGTTTTGTATTTGGGGGATTGCGAGTCAATTAAAATTGGTTGACAGTTTTCCCCGGTCGCCGGCGGTGAAATCTCCAGAGCTTTGCGAAAAAGGGTTCTCTAAATTAAACTTTTCTCTGCACTCCCTCTTTTTTTTCTCCTTGGGTATTTTTTTTATCCTGGATATCGTTATTTGGCAAATAAATAAAATGTTGCGAAAGTTTTGCTATTTGAGTTGTGTTGTCATGGGAGATGCAGGGAGGAGAGGCCATGGAGAACTGACCGTGGCAAAAGTTTTTCCAGCATTAAGCCGGGCATAATTAAAATTTTCGTGCTGTAAGCCCCCGGGCATATTATAGCCAAGTTTTTCCTCGGCCCGAACTTGCTATTGGCTTTGTTTGTCCCGTTGATTGATGGTAAATAAGTCGGGTTAAGGAAGCCTAAACCCTTTTAGGGGAAATAATTTTGAAATTCAATTGAAGGAGCAGCTTTAAAGATTACATTGTTGCTATGTTAAATGGAATTGAACTGGCGACTAATCGAATTTACGAGATGCTCTTTTCCGACTTTTATTAGCCCATCGAGCATTTCTCTTTTCAGGATATTTCTTTTGTTTCGCCCATTTTAGCTTCGTTTTTACGCCAAATTTCATTTCAATAAAAGTCGCATTAATTTCATTTATTTGCTGTAATTTTTTTCCCATCGCCTTCGCCATTTTTATACCCTCTGTTCCGAGTTGCCCTTTTTGTGCTCCTGTCTCACCTGATCCTGCTGTCCATCAAATGGCCCGCCCACCTCGACCCTCTTTATCACTCTGCCGCCTCGTCCATTTCAATTAACTCTCAAGGATTATTTTATTATGTCAATCAATTTCCGTAACTAAAAAGTCACCAATAAACGAGTGACTGAGCCACTTATTTCTCTTGCCGGTGTTCGTTTTCGTTTAGTGTTTAATTTCCACTACTGTCTTTTTTATTATTTTTTTTTGCAGTTCGTTTTACTTTCCGCCCATTTTTTTACTAGTCACCTTTTAATTATGGGATGCTGCAGTTGAAGCGGGCTTTAATTAAAACTTGAATTTAATCGATGCAACTTTATTGAATGATGTTTAGCAGTGGGAAAAGAGGTGTAAAGAAAGTTCTTGTTAGTCCGGCACTAAGGCCCCTGATGGTTCGCTTCATTAGTATGGATATTATGCAGTGGGTGTATCAATAGGTTGGAAATCGATGGGGGAATTGAATGAATCCAGGTCAGTTGAGCGTACTTTAATATTAAGGTTAATACTTTTTTAAAAATAAGAGAAATCAAAACATTGTGTTCTCTATTAAATTATAGAAAAGTCAGATTTTTGTTTTCCTTAGTTAGTTGTTTTAAAAATGCACACAACATTTTATTTCTTGTAGGCCAGAGAAAGTAATTGCCAGTGGAAAACCTTACCATTTTCCAGACAAGGAAACAAAATCAAATCTTTAGTCATGAATCATTGAACACACTAACAGAGAAGAGGGGATAGCACTCAACCAATTATAAATTTGTGGGCGGGTCTGTAGGCGTATTTTCCTGTCAATTTGATTGCGCACATGGTTGTGTATTTGTAACTTGATATATAGCTGTGGGCATATGTTGGCACACAGAGAAACAACAACAAAGAATTGTTACGACCAACAATAAAATGACTCAAAAGCCAATTAAAGATAACAAGAGGCAACAAAAACTTTTGCCACAAAAAATGCATTAGCATAACCAAACAAAGTTGAGAAAAGAGAAAAGCTTGGAAAATGTTTTGGGAGGGCGGGAGTAACCAGGGACTTAGACTAAGACCTGTGACTAACCGCATAACGGGAAATAAATGTTGCATAAAGAACAAACAATTGCTGACTGCAATCAATCAACAGAGTTAAACGTTTCCGAGAACAGCCCAACTTGGCTCTTGAGTGACGAATAAACTGCAGAAAACTCTTCCCTCGGATGCCACGCCACACCCCGCAGTCTACAGTCCTCGGAATCGGGAACCCCGGAATCAAACAGGAAGGAAGTACTACGAGCTGCAGGAGTTAAAAACCTACAAGGCCTACATGACTACCATAACTTGCAAGACACGAAACGGGTTGAGCCAGCACTGAGCTTTAAACTGGGTAATCAAATAAAAATAAGATAAAAATGTAAAAGAGAAAAAGAACTTATATATTCAAGAGAAGGAAGTTTAAATAATATTTATAATAACAAATATTTTATTTATTTTACTTTCCACTGAATTTCTATTCTTATTTTTTAAAATAATTTGGAATTCAAGCAAAATAAAATGTAATAATTTTAAAATGAATTTCTTACTCAACTCTCAACCGATTGGCAATATTTTTCGCTGTGTAAGAAGTGAGGGCGTGTTCGTAAGAAGGCAGGAAAAGCATTCGAAATGAAGAGCATGTATGTGGCCATTGTGCGGAGTGGAATGAATTGGAGTGGGCCAGAACCGAATCAAAAAAGGCTGGGCAAGGCGAGTGAAGGGGGGCTTGGATCAGTGGCGGTGCCAGGGGGTGCAAATAGGGGGAGTTGGCTAAAAGAGTGCGGCCTAAGCCGACAAGTCTGACTGCAGGCATTCGAAAGTTGTCGGAATGCAAAGGAGGCAGCTTTGGCATTGAAAGAGCATTTGAATGCGGTCGACAAAAAAAAAACGAGACTGGGAAGCAAACAAAGCAGGGCGATGAAGGGGAAAAAAGAAATGCCAAGTGCATGAAAATGAAAGATGAATGGAAAGAAGGGTGAGCAGCAGATATATTTTCAGCTTTAATCGAGCGTGTTGGTGGATATGGGCGCCCAAAGGGAGCCATGATTTCTTTTGAAGAATTATTGACTCTCGGCCAACACTAGCCAATAAGAATGGTGTAAGAATCCACCAGCATCGATAGAAAAAAGTGGGCAGGAAAAAAACGTAAAAACTCCTGCAGCAGCTTAACAAGAAATTCACGTCTGTCAGGGCAGAGATAGAAAGATCACCGGATAAGCTGAGAATGTTTGAATGACAAAGGCAGTTGGTAGGCTGCGCAAGAAAAAATCTATTGTACGGGCCCAACTATTGTTAGAAATCTCTTGGAAATCTTTCGACATATGCTTTGCCTCCACCTGGAGTGCTTCATTTGAATTTATGCGGCTTGAGTTATTCAAAGCTGGCCACTTGAAAATCGAATAAAAAACCCGGGAGAACATAAGAAAACAGAACAGAAGATTTGAGATTTGGAGTAGCTGATTGCCAGCCAAGGGTGGAATGAAAATAAAGGGTTTCTTAAAGACGAATTTTTTTTCGATGGGAGCTGAAATCCTATGGAAGGCCCCATAAACAGATCGTTAAACGTTCGGGCAAATTGCTGGCACACGCAAAGTGGCACACCCAAACCGGTTTGCGAGGAGGGAGGCACTCGTACATCAAGATGACAACCCTGGCGAGGAGAAGCTAATGTTGCAACTTGCAGCGACAGCGAATGCCCCTCGAAACAATGCACGGCCCCCTTTTCGGCCACGCCCCCTAATGGCCCGGCCATAAAAAGCTCATCAACGTCATCTTCCCCATTGTCCCCCTGCAAAACCCACAAATGCTGCACATTGTGCAACAGCAGCAACAACAGCATCAGAAATTTGATAAAAATTACACAGCAAAAGGTAAGGAGGGAAAAAGTAAAATACAAGCGAAACACAAAACAATTTTGAAGAGCCAACGATTATTTAAAGTGAAGTCAGGCAACAAATGATAATGGTAACCGACCAACGACTTCCAACAAATAGCCGTAAGATACGCCCGGCAAAAGTCATGGAAGGCAAAGGAAAATTTAATAATAGTACAAGCACACAAATGCCACTTTGTAAATATGTTTTCTATACAAAAACCCTGAACAATCGTTTGGTGTTGCTGCTGTGGCTGTCGATGTTGCATGTTGGTGGCGGAAAATGTTTCCTGCAACAGCAACGTGGAATGTGGCTACCCTTGTATTAAAAGGTGTTTTCGAAAAAGCGTTAAGGCTAAGTGTTGTAAAATAAAAAGAAATTGTTAATAAATAAACAGAAAATAAAATATTTCTTAATGTAACGCATCAATAAATGTTATAATCTTTTAATAATAGCTAAAAAACCACAAAGCTTAACCCACAACTAAACGAACTCCTTCTAAGAGTATATTAGTTTTTAATTGCCCAATACCATAAAAAATTTGAATTAACTTTTATAGCAGCACCTCGATGTGCTTCCCGTTTTCTATGTTATTTTAAGAGTGCCTCATATTTTTTTATTTCTCCTAACTATCACTTGTAGTGCTATCGTTTTTATCGTTGGCTATTTCAACGCCATGCAATTAACACGATTTTTTGGGGTTATCAACATCCCATTTGGGGGCAAACGGCTATAGTTGACCATTTAGGAGAAAGGCGTCTCTCTCAACATGTGTTCCATAAATCAACCAAAGCCCAGAACTGGGATTGGGGATTGCATGTTGCGGAGCCACAAAACAAAAGAGAAAAATATTTAACTAATTAGAGTCATAAATCTGGACGAAATATGGTCTACCCAAAAAACCAAAGCCTTTTGGAAATGAGCATTAATAACTCAATTCGAGGGCAGCTCCACTGTTATGAATGGGCCAAATCAAAGCTTCGAACTTGCATTGTCCAAGTGTCAATGTTTTTGCCAAAAGGGGAGAAGTCAGTGTCAGTGGGGGACAAAAGAAGGTGCGTCCCGAATGTCGGGTAGATGAATGTATATAGAGAGACTCTGACCCAAATTGTACATTCTGATGGACAAGACATTTATGACACTGCGCCTGCCTTTGGGGTTATCGTTATGGTTATGGTTATGGCCCCGGTACACGGAACTCCCCGGAAAATCCAACAGACAAATGGCAAACTCATGGCAGACACTCTGGGCGATACATTTGCATGTTCAACTTGGCACACAATGGCGACTCCGATTGCAAACCCAAACTCAAACTCAATCCAAAACCCGAGTCCAAACCTGAACCAAACCTCTTTGCCATTGAAAGTCATGGTTTGCATTCGAAAAAGAAAACCTGAAAACCGGACCACAAAACAAAGGGGGTACATATTGAGCGGCAGAAATTAAGGAAGGAAAAGAACACCGTGTGTATGCTGCGGAATTTATTTGCGAACTGAAGTTTAGCAAAGGAGAAACATTTTGGTATACATATTTTCTTATCCCTATTTCGTTAGATCGAGACAACTATATAGGTCTCGCGATCTGTGTTTACATTCTTACATATACAAGCGTGCATTGTCACATAGATAATATACAGGGGCTTTATTTTCAACACCCTTCCTCAATGCAAGCATGTTTACAAAAATTTAGTACAAATTTAACATTTCTGTAAAGTCTTCATGTTTCTTCTTAGGGAGGTTCTTTGTCAAAATATCTGCTAACATTTCATTTGTACATTTATATTTCAACAAAACTTGACCATCCTTCACAACTTCTCTTACAAAATGATAACGAATATCAATGTGTTTGGTCCTGAAATGATGAACTGGGTTCTTTGTTAACTCCTGTGCGCTCAGATTGTCTCCATACACGATGATTGGAGTGCTTTGGTCTCCGCATCCAATTTCCAGTATGAGCCTACGCATTACTATGGCCTCCTTAAACGCTGACGATAGAGCCATGTACTCAGCCTCAGTACTGCTTAATGCCACGCTCCGCTGCTTCTCTGATCGCCAAGAAATCGGACCACCAGCCAAAAAATAGATGTAGCCAGTGTAAGACTTCCTGTCCTGTCTATCACCTGCCCAGTCCGCATCCACAAATCCACAAAACGGTTGACCACACTGCCTGTAGTGTAATTTCGTTTCAACAGTTGATGCGAGATACCTGAGCACATGCTTTATGCCAGCCATATGTTCAGCGTGCGGGTTTTGATTCCGTTGGGCCAGCTTCGAAACGGAATGCAAAATGTCGGGTCTTGTTGTAAGAGCTAGCCACATAAGCTCCCCAACAATGGACTGATACAACGAGGGGTCAACTTTCTTGCAATGGTCACTTGTGCAATCTACTTGGAATCCTGCATCCAGAGGTGTCTTGGCCGTCCTGCAATTTTCAATGCCATGGGTTCGCAATAAGTCCTTGATGTATTGCGAATGGCCCAAAGTGATATCTCCAAGATCGCCTTGCCTCTCTATTTCCATTCCCAAAAAATGGTTTAGCGGACCCTTGTCAGTGCATTCGAACGATTTCGAAATTCCGGCCTTAATTTTGACCAAATCTTCTTGCGTCTGGCAGGCTATAATGAGATCGTCAACATATACAAGTATTAGTGAAAGGTTACCTTCTCCACTCTGCTTGTATAAACATGGTTCGTTGTCGCAAGCAACAAATCCCAAATCCACCAGAACTCCATTCAGCTTCTCGTTCCAGGCCCTTCCTGACTGCTTCAAACCATATATCGCCTTCTTAAGCAGCAATACCTTCTCTGGATTCTTCTCGTCTAGATATCCTTCCGGCTGCTTCATGTAGACGGTCTCACTTAGATCGCTGTTGAGATAGGCCGTGCATACATCCATTTGATGAAGATATAGTTTGAGCTCCGCTGCGAGCGCTATCATAAATCGCACACTTTCTAGTCGGCAAACTGGAGAAAATGTTTCCGTGTAATTAACGCCGAACTTTTGGGAGCATCCCTTTGCCACCAGACGCGCCTTGAAACGCTCTATGCCGCCGTCCTTATTGTGCTTTACGTTGAACACCCATTTGCAACCAATTGCTCGCTGATTTTTCGGCAAATCCACGATCTGCCAAGTTTGATTGGCAACAAGAGAGTCATATTCTCTTGCCATAGCTGCGCGCCACTCGGGCGCATACGTACAACTCAAAGCCTCCTCGCAAGTCAGGGGTATCGAAACATTTTCCGAAACCAGAGCGCTCAGGATGTTGAATTGCTTCTTAGGGCGACCAGGTTGGCCAGTCCGGATAATCTTGGGTCGACCAGGTCCTCTGCGTTCCTCGACGTTCACATCTGCGTCCTTATCCTCAGCACTCTCGTAGTGATCTGAGCTCTCACTAGAGCTGCTGTTGTGCATGGATGCGTCAGAATCATTTTCTGCATTATCGGGCTCATCTTGCTGACACGGTTCCTCCAACTCCTCCAGTTCGATTGACACGGAATCACCCTTGAGTTCCACGTCATGTTTTTCGTCGAACAGGACATCTCGTTTCTCCACTAGTTGTCGAGCTGCAGCGTCGTATAAGCGATAACCTTTGGCTGCTACCGAGTATCCAACCATGATGTACTCCTTGCCTTTGGGTTGAAATTTGCTCCCCTTCTTTGGACCCTTGTCCAGAGCAACTGCAAGAGAACCAAAAACTTTTAGATGAGTTACACTAGGCTTTTTACCCGTCCACGCTTCCATGGGCGTCATGCTCTCCAATGCGCTGGTAGGAGACCTGTTTCGAAGATAGACCGAAGTGTTGACTGCTTCTGCCCAAAAAGCATCTCCAAGTCCCGCCTGGACCAGAAGGCACCTTGACATCTCCACGAGTGTCCGATTAGCCCTTTCCGCGACTCCATTTTGCTGGGGTGTATACGCTATTGTGAGCTGCCTAGCGATGCCGTTATGCCTGAGAAACTGATCGAATTGCTTGTTGACGAATTCTCCTCCGTTATCGCTTCGCAGACATTTGAGGTTTTTGCCTGTCTGCCGTTCCACCAAGCTCTTGAACTCAATGAACTTCGATAGCACCTCGTTCTTCCCACGCAGAAAATACACAAAAATCCTCCTGGATTTGTCGTCAATGAAGGTCAAAAAATACTTGGAACCTCCCAAAGATTGTGTCGGAAACGGTCCACAAACATCTGCGTGTATCAATTCTAATAATTCCTTAGCCCGGTTACTTGTCGATGTTGGAAAACGCTGAACATGGATCTTGCTAACCATACACGTCTTGCAGTTCATATTTTGTGGCAATGAAATATTTTCTACTCCAAGAACCATTCCTTTGGATACCAGCTCTTTCATGCTAGAGAAATTAATATGGCCGTATCTCTTGTGTAGCAAAACACCATCCACTGCTTTCATAGCAAAACACTTACTTCGTCCGCCTTCGAACAAATACAGGTTGCCGATCTTATTAGCTTTCACAATGCATTCACCATCTTGCACTACCTGGGCGTTTTTCATATCGAAGATCACCTTGCACCTGTTCTGCACAGCACTGCTTACCGACATGAAATTTCCGTTCATCTTTGGAACATAGAGAACATTTTTTAGCGTCAATATACACAGGTCTGTCTGTATCTTGACGTCACCTTTTCCTTCGGCTTGAAGAAAACCAGCATCGGCCAGTCCGATCTGTTCTGTGTGCTTCTCGAATTTTGTGAATAGCTCCTTTTCACAACACATATGGCTCGTTGCGCCACTGTCTAAGCACCACACTGAGTTCTTTAAGTTGCTGACGTCACATGCATTTAGCAAGCTGCTTTGGCGGTTCACCGTGTTTTTCGCCAACGTGGAATTGTTGCCGTCACTCACACTTCGACACTGTGATTTGATGTGCCCTTTCTTTCCACACTTGAAACAAACGATACTTTTCCGTTTCGTCTGCAAGTCCTTTCTTGTCTGCATGTCTGTGGACTGTGCTGCAACGAACGCCTTTGTACTGTCGCCATTCTCGTCTGTTACTCCTTTTCTCTCACTCTCTTCTTTCAGCTTTATGGTGAGAACCTCAAAGGAAGGCAACTGATCTCGTGTCTCTATAGCCACCACGAAATTCTCGAACTGTTCTGGAAGGCTCGACAGCAAAACGATAGTGCGAAGTTCATCGTTTAGCTCTATGCCTATTCCAGCTAGACCATCCAGAATTTCCACGAACTCACTTATGTAGGTCACCATACTTTGCCCCTGCTCCATCCGCTTGTTGAGCAGTTTCTTGTATAACTGTACTTTTCGTACAGGTCCGCTTGGCTGATGTACATCTCTCAATTTCGTCCAAGCCTCCAACGCAGTCCGACAGTTCTTGATATGGCTTAATTGAGAAGTCTTTACACTCAATGTAATTGTGGCCAACGCCTTATTATCCAAGGCCACCCAATTTTGTCCTTCTGGAACATTCGATTCCGTAAGCTCTCCAGAAGTGACGCTCCACAAACCGGAATGCACCAATACAGATCGCATCTGTATTTTCCAGGTGACATAGTTAGTCTCCTCTAACTTGTCAATTTGATAAAGAGCACTCATTGTTCTTTTTCCTGAGTCACACACCGCACAACCTTAATTTTACTTCTTTAGTGCCTGGGCCCATAACCTATTGAGCGGCAGAAATTAAGGAAGGAAAAGAACACCGTGTGTATGCTGCGGAATTTATTTGCGAACTGAAGTTTAGCAAAGGAGAAACATTTTGGTATACATATTTTCTTATCCCTATTTCGTTAGATCGAGACAACTATATAGGTCTCGCGATCTGTGTTTACATTCTTACATATACAAGCGTGCATTGTCACATAGATAATATACAGGGGCTTTATTTTCAACAGTACAGACAACTGCAGTCGATGCACGTGCATTACATATATTTAAATTTGAAAGTTTTTCTCTTTCGGGTAACAAAAAATATAAATAAAATATTACTGCCAGTTGGCTGTCAATGTTTTTTCTCCTTTTTCCTACCATTTTATTTTCCATATTAATTTACGAGTTTATTGCTAAAGACATCATTAAAGTGAAAGTCAATTTGCTGGCGATTGTTGTTTCGTTCATTACTTTTTAGCTTCTAATATTTCCGAAGATCTCTCAGCTGGGTTTTATTTATGACCGCAAATTTTTCTTGTAGGATTTTTCCTTTTATTATTCGGTTGCCGTTTTATTAAAGTGCGTGTCTAGCCGAAAGTAAGCAAAGCTAATTAATGACTTGGGCGCTGCTTCTTCATAAAAGTGAGGGAGTTAAATTAATTTAATTTTTCCTCGCGTTATTATGGTTGATTTTTTCGGAGCTTTACTTGCCTGCGGTAATTTATCATTGCATAACAGACAGTTTGGATAGGTTTTTTAAGAAGTCGGTAAACTCCTTTTTTGTGTGCAAAAATAATTGAGATTTTTTTGAAGTAAATTTCATTAAAAATGTATGGTTGATGCCAAAAAAGAAAAGCTCAGGAGCAAATAATGTCAGATACGCTCGTATCTCTACCATTCTCTTCCCGTTTAAGCATTTTCAAATGGGGCAATTCACATTTCATTAAATCCCGCGAACAACACCCAAAACTAGAAAAGGAAAACGTTAATTTGCTTTCGCGCGGGAAAACCCCAAAACTTTAATTACGCTAAGCGAGTGTTTGCTGTGGGGGAAAACTGTCTGACGGCCGTTTCGAAAAAAAAAGGAAAATGCAAACAAAGAGTGTTTGACCGCGAACTGGCGAGCTGCACACTTCCACTAAACTTGATTCAAACAAAAGAGCGTTAAACGTTTTAGCGCGGATATTGAGTCTGATGCGAGGAATGGAATGTAAAATTGTTTAGAAAATACAAAGTTTAACAGTCGACAGGCGACAGTTTGAAAACTCGCACTGGAATCCAATAAACTCCAATAGTGAGTGGGTGGTGTGGGGGTGAAAAGTGGTTGGGGGTGTGGGTTAAAAGAGAAGGAAGGTTGTCGGGAAAGTGGCCTGAGTGCCAACGCAGGCTGAGTCTAAGTGGTTGGGCTAGAACCAAGCAATGCACTGCAGAAAAATCTATATATTTTTTATAATTATTGTAAATTGAGTGGAAAACATTGTAATAACAGATTCTTTTGTAATTCAAAAATTGTTTAACTTAATGTGAGACCCTTCTTCTTAACTAAGTCGCGATAAGCCTGTAAGAAATTCTCGCAGTGAACTTTAGTAAACTTGGTCAAGAGAAGAGCATCGTAGCCCGCTGGAATGTGAAAGCCATCGCGTCATCATTGCCACAATCATAGTCAGAGTTGCCGGGGTTTTGAGTTTGGAGTGTGGAGTTCGGAGCTGGGAGCTTGTGAAGAGTCGGGAATGCGTGTTGGACCAGTTGGCACGTTTCTGTGTCAGGAACGCTATTTTTACGGTCAAGCATGACCGAAGAAAGAGACAGCAGCAAAGGCATTCACATACGGCGAAAGAGAGGGCGCTAGGCTTTAGTTTTTCTTTTTTTTCTCTTATTTCATTTGGTCGCGCAGACCTGAAAACTTACTTTCTGGTTACCATTTTTATGGCTCCCATTCTTGGCCTCATTTTAATTGCAAACACAAACAGAGATAGAACGAAATGGGGAGGGGAATGGGTAGGGAAAATCCAGCGACACAAACTGCACTTTCTATGCAATCCGCGTTGTCTGAGAATGGTTTTCTATTTTTATGCCACTTTGGCTTGGGTACTTCTTCTTCTTCTTCTTTTGCTTGTAATTCGCTTAACGCCGCTAGGTGGCGCTGCTGATGGCCCCTGTTGACCCAATTGTCCAGAAATGGCCCGCAGCCGAGTGGGAATCCCCTCGATTTTTCGCCCACTTCTACCCGCACTTTTCCTTCGCTCGCCGCTTTAATTGTTGGCGCGAAGATTTTTCTTTGTTTTTTCGCTTTTCACTTTTACGCTGGCCGGCGGCAAAGTGCCTCTCAGCTCCACTATCCCCTCACAATTCTGCGTTTTTCCGACTTTTCCTTTGCATTTTGGATTTCTGCTTCCGCAGCTCCTACACTTTTCCGTTTCGGCTCACCTGAGTTGAAGTTTAAGTTGCAGACGAGCAAATGTTTGAGTTATGCGCGAAGATTATCTGACTGTATTTTAAGTTAATTGAAAGGAAATTGTTAACCTTTCGGCGGCGGATATTGCAAATATTTTAAGGCTGATTAACATACCTGTAACGAGAGAAGAAAAGTAAATTATTAATATTAAATAAAACACATTGTCTTAAACTTCTTGTAAGTATAATTTTCACAACAATTCTCCGTCACGCGCTGTCCGTACACTTAAAGTAATTTCTTTTGTTCATGTGTTATTCATTTCAAGTCAGAAACCCAACCCTGAACAGCAAATAAGATGGAGAGGCTATCCCTCCTTCGCCTAAAAGCAAAAACAAAAGAAACTTCTCATGTCAAAGCAAGTTATTTTTCTATGCAAAGATGCCGGAGGCTCCTCGGAGAACATTTATTTACTTAATATTGTGTGCATCACACATACGCCCCATTAGACAGCTAGAAAGGAACAAAAACAAGAACATCAACAACAGACACATAATAAACAGACTTTGTTATTGTTTTTCTCTGGCTAAATTCTTTTTGTTTTTTATTTTTTGTTTTGTTTTGCCTGGGAAAGGGCGAAAAAGCAGCCACAGGTGGTTAATATGGTAACTTTCACACTTAGCGTCACCTGCATTTTCCACCCAATCCGCCCCACAATTTCAGCTTCGCGCTGCTGTTTGTTATGCCATAATTTACATACATTATGCATGTTCTCGCTGCTCGCATCTGTATCTCAGGTACATTGAACCTGCAATGATTGCAGGCAACAAAAAAAAAAAAGAAAAAGCTGGCCAAATGGGAAACGGCAGAGAGCAGGAGCTGCAAAAAGGTGCCGCGGGGGGTGTTGGTTCCTCGGCTTTACATGCAAAAACAAACAAAAGTTCTTTTTGGCAGCGGCAGATACAGCAACTGTTGCTAGTTTCCGGCTTCCTGTAGCGATGACAAATTTTTGCCAGCCATCCAAACATTTTTTTGCTGCAGACCCCTTCTTTTTTTTTGTTTCTGTTTATTTTCCAATTTTTTGTGCATTGAGTGCGCGGGTTTTGAGATTGGCAGTTGAACTTTGGCTTCGACTGCTGCCAAAGTTCACTTTTTTGTTTGCCGGAGAGTTTTGCATTTCTGTGGGTAAAAAAATGCAACAACTTTTTTGGGTCTAATAATCGGTTTTTGTTGTGCTATTTATTTATTAATTATGAAGAATTCTCGTTGCGCCCAGGGAGGAATGTTTGTTACTTTTTATACTCCTAGGGCTTATTAACAGTATATTAATAGAAATTAAAAATTATAATAAAAAAATTATAAAAAAAATTATAATTAAGTATATTTTATTTTTTTTTGATAATATCTTAATTTTCTGAAATCCGTTTTGTAAGTCGTTTAAAATTAAACATATTAAAATATTGCACTCTTCGACCTTTTACGTTCTTTTAGCCTTTCTATTAAGCTATACGTTTTTTATTTAACACACTGTTTTTAAAAAAATTTTTATCAAGTTCGAATTAAGGAAAGATCTCAAACTGCTCGTATCCCTTGGAAATGTTCACCCAATTTCCTTTCGCCACACACTTAACCCTTTTTTCCACTTCCCTTTCGTGGTTTCATAGCACTTTGCCATTTTCCAACTCCCACGTACAAGTTCACAGTCTCCCAAAAGCATACAAATTATTTAGGCAATTTGCAGTCCATCCCCGAAGCACAGCTCAATTGCGAAGTTATTCACATCTCCGGCAGTTCGCATTGGGGATCTACTTTAAATAATGAAGCTATTTTCGCGTTCAATTCCCATACGCAGCCAATCACTTCGCTGTGCCAACAAAAGGGCCAAAGTCGAACAATGCCAATGGCACGAGTGCAGAAAACTTTAGACTAAATCAATAATATAAAAAAATGTGAACGGAAGGGGGTGGGCAGGAGTCATGGGAAGGTTTAGGAATCCCCAGTGCAGCAGCATCTTTATCTTCATCTCTATCTCCATCTTCATAATCGCCATCATCGTTGCCATGGACATTCCGTGGCACTTCCCCTTCTCATAACGCGCACCGAACACGTTTCCCTTATCACCAGAAGGGAAAAATAAAGGGGGAAATCTTATCGGCATGCTTGGCATTCATAAGATCTCTGAATCGAAAGCTATAGCCCGCCAAATCGCAGAGCTACTTACGTCAGGCCGTTTGCACTGAGCGCGTGTGTGTGTGTTGCAGTGGCAACAATGAACCCCCAGCAAAATATGCCCGACATAGGTATTACCTGTCTTTTGTATAACCTCGCGATTGGCCGGGGAAGTTGTTCGGGGGCACAGGAAATGCTTTTGGCACGACAGACTTTTCAATAAACTCCCTCAAGCGTGTGCATTAAGTGCAGCAAGGGAAGCCGAAGCCAGCCAAGTCACAGTAGTACTGTGTTTTGAGTGGTGCACAGTGGTATAAAGCTCATTAAAAATTAAAAAAAAAATAATGAAAATTAATTTCAATTGCTTTCTATAATAAATCTTTTCACATATTTAAAAGAGATTTATTTTAAAGTAGAGTTGAAGGCTGAAAGGTGAGAAAATCTTATTTATTCGCTATTTAAATCCGGAGTTTTTTGGTTGAGTGAATAGTTATGTAAAGTTATTTTCCATATCAAACTCATTTTTTTTGTTTTAAGTTCCAACAAATTTTAAATATTTCACCTTCTCTTTTCCCCCACAGTGCATGCATCATTGGCCGCATTGTGGTAGCCACAAATTCTTATTTGTTTCTTTCATTTCTAGACCGACTGGCCTTTCTTTTCCGCTCTTTTCCCTCCTTTCGCCAGGTTCCTCTACCTTTCTCTGTCTTTTTCACTGTTTTTCCCTTGTGTGGCTCGGCAATTTGCATGGCTTGAAATTCGAATTTGAAATGGAAAAGTAAATCGTGTAATGTGCCTGCAAGAAATTGCCTAATGCCCCAACGCTCAGCCTGAAGTAGAAAGAGAGCGGTGGCACTGCACAGAAAGAGACGGGGAGAATTGTGAGACTGAGGCAGAAAGAGGTAGAACGGTTGACTGCCTGACAGGCAATTCCAGTCCGCAAAGTGCGGAGAGTGGCTTCGTGCTAAAAACCTTAACCAGAAGCAACGACTTTGAGGCATATGGGACCGCAAGTAAAGGGAAAACCAAGCTTCGTAAAAAAAAAAAAAAAAAAAAAACACAAAATGAAAATAGAAGCAAAACCAAGGAAAACTGAGACGGAAAAAGCAGACCCGCGTAACGAGGAGAACGTGAGCTTTGTGCATCGGCCATTTATGATGACGACGATGATGGCGATGAAGGCATTTCCACTTGTTGTTGTTGCTAATACACCGTAAAAAATTTGAGATTTGTACCTTGTACTTACTAAAATAAGAAACCAATACAGAACATAGCTTTTTTAAACTCTTTGTTTACAAAACGTGACTTGCTTTGTTGTTTTCTTATTTATTTATCACATTATTGATTAGGCCATATCAGGGCAAAACGAACTCATTTTTTCTGCGTGCTGTTGGTATTGCTGTCGTGCATGCACCGGCAACAGCAACAACATTAGCAACAGCAGCAGGTGGTGCATGATTGCATGTTGCAAAACGGGGAGGAAACCCGGGCTGGACTTTCTCAAGGGGTTGCCTTCGTGTTGATCTTAAACTTAGATAAATAAACTTCAACTTCAAGGAAAAGCGAACGGAACAAAAAACTTTTGAAAAAAAAGTTTGGTATACAAGGGGAAAATATTTAAAGATTTTCCAATGCACATTTTTGTGCAGCAGCATTAACACGTTGTTGCCCGAACAAAGGACCGGCGAAAAAATGCAGACAACAAAAACGAGAAAAACTGATTCTTCAACACGGCCATTGTCCACTCACGAACGAGAAAGGAGAAGCAGCCTGAAATGGGGCATTGAAGCGTGGAAAAGCCGCCCCCACTTTTCTGTAAAACTCCAATACCCCCACGCTACCATGCTGTGCTCAGCCATGTGACAATTGTCAATGTGAGACCATAATTTAAGGTTTAAATCGGCGAAGCAAATTCCCAACATTTCACTGCAAAATGTAATCAAAGAAAAGCGACCAAAGCGAACTTCAATCTTTGCATGAAATTTCCAAAAAAAGGAAAGAAAATAAAATAACAATGAAATACCCTTCACCCTCTGGAATGCTTTTACACTTTTGCAATTTCAGTTCAATATTTTTTTTTTTTTTTAATTTTCCTCTTCGGTTGTGGTTGCTGCTGTTGTTTTGTCACATTGCGCATACGTCACGTTGGCCCCAGTTTTTGGCTTTACTTCAGACATTCGACTTTTTCAACTGATAGAGTGCAGTAAGGCAAAAAATGGAAAGGGGGATTTTCGGGGGGTGCTGGCCTTATTGTTTCGTACTCGGCGACAGCCTCAAGCAAAATTATACGCATGAGCGCCACGGAAATGGCAAACTCGACTACAACAACCGATGCCAAAAAAAGGAAACTACAGAGGCCAAAGCACAAAACGAAAAAAAAAAGAATAATAAAAACAGCAACAAAACAAACAGAATTGAAAGCAACACCGAAAAGTGTTGCCAGAGTGAAGGAGACAAAAAAGTGCAGCATTGCATGTCTAAATGGAAAAACAAAGGCTGCCATTTCCACCTGATGCCACGCCCCAAACCCAACACTTGGCAAGCCAAGGCGGAAGAGGGGGAAAAGCTGAGGAAAATCGGTGTATGAGTGAGTTCCGTTGTAAAAGTTGGTAGGAAATCAAAAGAGTTTTTGTCATCATGATCAGAGCATGGTGAAGTTGAGTGAATGGCAAGCATCTAAGGGGTATGAAAAGGAGGTCTTTTGTGGTAAACTGGGGCAGTTTAAAGAACGGAAGAAGTGGATACAAGGATTAACTTTCAAGGCGATTTTTTAATATAGCTGCCAATTGAGAGAGCTCGAATGAACAAACTAATTTACATGAGCTTATATATTTGAATGATATTTTTTAGTAAAGATATTAAATATAGCATGCAATCTACAGGAAATCAAAAGGCCTTATCCCCATAAACCAGAATTTTAATGCCGTAATGTCAGCTGATTAGTAAGCAAAAGAAGAGCAAAACATTTGGCCTGGAAAACAAGTTGAGGGTCGTACGGAGTCTGAAAC